AGGAGATTTGCACATACAGAAACACACACACACACACACAGCAAACGTTTCATCAAGGGAATAGACAGGCCTCTATTCTGCCTCCTTAGCACTCGCAGAACGCCAACCTACTCATGTGTACAATATACGCTTGGCTCTGAGGTTCATACACTCACCAGAAGAAACAGGTGTCCTCAACAATAAAGGCCTTAGGTACGTTAGAACTACACCCAAGCCTGAGCTGTGCTTCCGAAGGCAGAACACTGAATCCAGCACTTACTCATGCATTGAATTAATTTACATCTTAACACTTAGCTATTACACACTGTTAAAGTGCATTCCAGCTAACGGTTATTGAGAGTTTTGGGGCACAATACCAAGTTAACAAGAGTGAGAGTAAGTGTGGGTGGGAGGGATGGTGGTTGGGTCACAAACCGTCCTCTCACTCAGGAAGTTGCTTTTCGGGTCTTGTGGGAAACCACAACCTTTATTTGTATTTAGCATTGGTCATTTATTGATCATTATCAAAACTCTAGGGTTGAAATGAACTACATTACATGTTACCGTTTCTAACATATCAAACAAAAGATGGAAAGCTACAGATGTCATCATCTCCGTATGCACAACTCCGTGAATATGCAGCCAAATGCCATGACACAAGCATGTCACAGTAAACACAAGACACTTTGCGGGTTTTCAGGTCAGCAGTGAGAGAAATAGAGGAATTTGAAAGAGTGAGTAATTAAATTATATTGGTGGTTGGGGTGGCATGATAAAATATTTGTTGGAATTGGTGCTGTAGTTTAAAAAATTGCGGAAACCTTGCTACATTTTGGATATTGTATAGTTCATGATGTACTGTAGGGAATGTGTATTTGGAAACATACAGTACAACAGTCCAATAGGGAGTGCATATTCACCTGGTTTAAAAGTCACCACGATACACATTGTTTAACCAGACCTAATGAAACTGCCCGATGCCCTCCAGTGAGACACATCTGAACCTCGTTACTCCCTCCGTTCTCCACATGCTGAGCGAACTGGCTCCCAGCTGCTCTGCCATCAGTCCTCATGGAATATTTCAAAAACATGTTAGTGAAGCCAAGTGGATATCAGACCTGAAAGATGAAGGCTCCCTGTCCAAATTAAGAGTGAAGCTGAATGTTATGAGTGTAACTCACAGTGTAGCCCTGTTCATTTCTCCTGCCTCGTTTTCCATCCCTACACACATTCACTACTCTTTTCCTCAGGGGGAGGGGGCGAACTTTCATCACAGGGAGAGATTTCTGTCAGGAAAGCTTCTTAAAGCAGCACTTGGCAAGATTTTTATGGGGCGGATGCAGCTGTCTGTTCCCGCTAAATCATGAAGAGCAGCCCATCTACACTAATGAGGAGCTGAACATTTGGCCCATATTTGCTCGCCGTGAAATTATGCTGTCTGAGTGATCCCTACTGTGAAGTCTTGTGTGCACACTACAGGTTACAAATTGTCCTACATGCACGCGGCAGTGAGCACAATGCTGCACTCACAGGCTACACCTGAACCTCCTAAGTCTTTCTGGTCCTAATTATCTGTCACAGCTTAAGCTATAGCCAGGAGACGGTTAGCTTAGCACAAAGAAAGCGATCGGGCACATATAAACGGCTCGCACGTATTAGAGAAACAATAATTTGCATGTCTGAGATTCAGAGGTGTTTTCGCATCAGGTCAGAATAAGCGACGTAGTACACCGACTGTTATTGAAAGTGATATCAAAAGCAATGACAGTCCCTTGTTTCACTATACACTATGCTGCTGTGAAAAAAAGTATGTTATCTTATCTGGCGGTTATTGGGATGGGTGGTGGATTAGCCATACAAACACAGGGCTTCATCCCTGTAGGCCGCTGTGTGTGTCCCTTGTGGAACTGTCGTTGACACGTTTTACTTTTGCTTTAAGAACACAAGTCGCTGTGTTGTCTTTCATGACATTGTCCTGGTGCCGGGGCCTTTTTTCTGAGTCCGTACACCCAGCCCGGCATCCTTCTCCTGGGGACTTCCAGCAGCCTCTCAGTGGTGTATGGTACCTTACTGCAATCTTGAGATTGCTCCACTCTGACTCATTGCGTTTATGTGTAAGCCTCTTTCTGTCATCATGTCCACTGATCCAGTCATCCATCCATCAGTCCGCACCTCTCCAGACAAGAGGTCTACTTCTCACTGCTACAGCAAATCTTCTTACGGTCTCAATCATCATTTACACGTTGTATCTTGTCTCTGTCCCTTGTCCTTCCATTCTTCTCCTTTTCAGCACCTTTCTTTCTTTCTCTGTTTACCTTTTTTCCATCCACCCCCTTCCTCCCCTCTGCATATACCATTATGACTTAATTCGCATGGATCTTTATCAGAAACATGTTTCCCCAAGGGAGGATAGCCCACACATTTTTGGTCTCTCTCAACTGCTGACACCGCGCCATCTGATGTTCATCCTCTCAAGTTGGGTCTGCAACTTGTTTCCAATGCTGCCAATTTCACAAAAATGAAAAGAGATTCCAAAAAATATTGCATTCTCTACAGTGACTGTTGTATAAAAAACTCAAACGCACCGTACCACATCAATCTGTTTTTGAGAGCAACAGCTGAGTCATGTTCCTGGTATGGGTAGTCATATCTGACTACCCATACCATCATATCATAATTTTGATTTGATTTTCTCGTCAGGTGATATCCTGCCGATTCATCATTACTTGTGTTACTACCTTAATATGCGATCGGGAGCAACCAGGACCCATCTAATATACAGTTTTGGGGTCTCTGTGAAGCAAAACATGGGAACTTCTTTGGTGATTGGCACCCAATTGGCAGGAGACCTGGGGCAAATATTTTAGTATTAATAACTTCTATAACCAGAATTCATGGTCCCTGAGACCAATATTCCAAGAGTCGTCTTTGTTGTTTCAATCTGGTGTCGAGGCAGTGGAGAGGTTCAGCTATCAGTCTGGACAGGACACAGCTTCACACTTGTGGAATAAACTTAGCGTATATTTGATTGTATCACTGGCGAAATATTCTAGGGAGTGACAATTGTGGCAAATGGACAACGGGTACCATTAGTAGAAAGGTCTATTTTTTTTATAGCATTTCAACAAAGGTCATGTCAGTCAAACAACAGTCCACACAGAGAAATCCCACCGGCTCTTTAAAAGGTTTGGTGATGCTCCCTGTGAGATGGATCAGACGGGACTCTCAATGTGGGAAGCGCTGGAATATCCTTTGAGGGTAAGAGTTCTGAAAGGCCGGGAGGAGAGGTGGAAGGGTCAGGGCTGTGAGAGATAACAGAGGTCCGGGGGGAGGCTACGTGAGGGGAGATGTGTGTCACCCTCTTTTCTACCATCTCAGTCTGATTATCAGTCATGACAGGATGGACGGGGTTGTGAGCTCAGATTAAAGCTTTCCATAGCGAACAACATCATCCAAAATCAGAGACATTCTTTACCCAAAGTGGAAAAGAAATGTGGTTGAGAAAACACATTACATAAAAAAATTAATCCATTAGATGAGTTAATTAAACAAGCAAAGGGTCACTTATTTGCCTGAGCGGTAACACATTAAATGATTAAAAACTGGGCGTTGTTTATAAAATAATTTTAGAAAAAAAATGAATATCAATGGATCATTGTTTCTGTGAGTGGCTCAGGTGTTTTGGCCCTCTGCTCCCCCTCTCTGGTCATACACGCACACTACATTTTGGTCTGAGTCGGTTTCCTGCTGCTCCAGATAAAAGACTCTTGCTTCTGGTTATCAGGATCCTTATTCTTTGTATTTCATTTAGCTCTTAGTTTGACCTTGATACACTAAATGCATTAATCAAGTAGATATTCAAGCTATTGGAGATTAACTGCAATAATGAGATCAATCCAAGTGAAACTAATTACTGCATTACCACCATTATTGAGGTCAGTTTTCCCGGGCATGTGGTTAATTAAGTGAAGACAGACGTGAAATATTTTGACGTGTTTTTTATCCAGAGGGAACTCTGCCCTGCTCTAGCATTGCTTGAAAAAGAAAAACGTCACAAGGTCCCACATAATTCCACTCTTTTAGAGTTTAGAGACATGAGCTGTGTGCACGTTACTAACTGAGCTAGAGTCAGTTTCACTTGCTTAACTGAAGACGTGTGCTGTAGGAACATTTGTTATGATCTGCACAATGACGAACAGACTTGTCTTCATATTGTGAGACACAATCATGCATCAACTTTGCTAACAACTAAATAAATGTCTTCATAGGATTGAATATCATAAGTTAACTTATGATATTATTTTGTTATATGTTTTGGGCTTTTTAATGCAATGGACCACAATTCAAGAATTTTTTTTCTAGTCTCCCAGCTTGGTCTCTTAAATAGGAACGTCCTCCACAAAAAATGTCTATTACAGATATACTTAAGAATGATGTTTCTTTGTGACGCACCTCTCATACATTTCTAATTACAGTCCAAATGTGGGGCTTTGACCCAGGTGACTTCTGTTCGTGTCCCGTTTGAAACCAGAAGTAACGCACGTATTTAAACTCAGACCTCTTTGTTAAACATAGCAATACAAACTATTAAAATCATACCAGTGGCATGCATTTATCTAGAAACTTATCTAGATATAAAAATTTAATTTTTCATTATATTCCTCCCTCCTTTCTTTTGTTAATATACTTTCCTTTGAACTTGTGTACTTGGTGATTTTGTTGCTGAATTGTTGTATTCTGTGCTGCAGTCTGTGCTTGAATGTTTTTGTAAATTAAAACCTTTTTTTTTCTCTCTTGTCATTGTCATGAACAATATTGGATCCCACACATGTGAGCTCGTGACATTGCATGATATGACATGTCTAGTTTTATTGAAAACAGGAGGTGAATGGGTATGGGTATACATAATGATATTACTGTTTGATAAAGTACACACAATTCATTCAGCTTTACAGTGAGTTTGGATGAAGACATGGGTCACACTGACGATTCTCCGCTCTCTTCCCTTCTCCTCCTTCTAGGCATATGGGCCCAGATCCAGATGCCCCAACCCAACATGGATGTGATCCAGGGTCAGATGGTGGTTCTGAGGGCCACGTACAACGCACAGACAGGCAGCGACCTGAGCACCAACGTCGTACTCTGGAACTTTATCACCGACAACACCCAGCAGGTAAGAACTCAACAAAGAGTGATATGAGGAGGATAAATGGTATATTTCTTCATCTTCCTATCTAATATAGTACAGTATCTACAGCCCAGCATGGACATCTTGTATGGTGCTTTCTGTTTCTTTAATATCTGGGATTAAAGTTATCTTTTCATGAGGTCAATCTGGTAAAGCTCTTCCTTTTGTAAACCATTGGAAATTTATCCAAGACAAAACCCGTTTAAGCTTTGAATGCCATCTATTATTTATCTTCCACTTGTATATACAGCTGTAGGATTTCTGCAATAGGAAATAAGAGAAAACTATTTTTCCAAATTAGATTATGTATGTGGTAGAACATGAAATAAAGCAGACTTGGCCATGGCTCTGCTCACATATCGGCCGTGGTCAGATCTCGGGGCCTTACAGATGGACGTCTCAAAGAGGATCACAATCAAAGAGGAGGGAGGGGAAAAGAGAACTCACAGAGCTGGCAAAGACTCAGTGGATTAAAGGGGGAGGTGTTTCTTTGTGCCCAGTGTCTCACTCTGCGCTGCTGTCGTTTGTGGCCAAAAAGATGAATAAAAAGAACAAACGTGGAAGCCTTATGTTACAGCCATTCCCAATGGTAGGCAGCCCAGCATATATGAGGTCATTAACTGATAAACCAGCTAAACCAGTTAGTTGAAATGGAGAAATCTGTTCAGTCCTGTTCTTTCCAAACCAAACTATTTTCATTGTTTTATTTTATTATTGTTTATTCTTCAGGAAGTTGGCATGGAGAAAGTCCTTCGCGAATCAGGAGTTTCCTATATGTCACCTAATTGGCCTTCAGGCACTGACATCTAAATCAAAGGGCATCGGCTCAATCAGCAGTAACGCTTAAATACACAAGCTGAAACACAGCGTTTCAGACCGAGGGTGAACATGGGTATATTGTCAGCTGGGGTGTCAGTAATGGATTAAATTCATGATTCCAGAAGTGTGGCACGCCTATTTCTGGGAAGTTTCTCCCATTCTCTTTGCAGAACCTCTCAAGTTCCATCAGGTTGCTTACTAAAGAAATTCATCCCTAAACATAGCTAATAACACACATTAACGCATTATCCAATCTAGATTTGGCTAAATAATCCTCCAAAACACATGGGCACTGTAGATTCTAGCATTGCTCGCACTAAAGTGGACAAAGCTATTACTGTCATCAGAGCTTTGATGCTCAGCGTATTACTGTCTGCAGACCTTCATATGTGGGATTGAGTCAAAATAAACTACAGCATGTGGGTTCATGGTGATGAAGGATCCGATTGAAATGGGCCACATATGTGCTGTTCTATGAGAAGATTGTATCAATGGAGTGCAACTCATGTCCTTTAAAATCGTTGTACTTGATACTTCTGACCCTGGATAACCGACACAAGCAATCGCACTGACATGGACGTTGATGACTCTGGTTCCTCTTTTTGCTCCCCCTTCCATGTCGTGGGACTTTGTTGTGCGGTCCAGATCATCACCTACGCCAAGGACTTCACGAACGTGGGCACCTCCCAGTTTCTGGGGCGTGTCGGTTTCTCCTCCAGCATGCCATCACGGGACGTGTCGCTGTACATCAACAACACCCAGGAGTCCGACTCAGGACGCTACCTTTGCCAGATCATCTTCCCAAATAATCCCGGCCTCACTGCTGAGCTCAGTCTGGATGTGAAGGGTGAGAACCAGATCCTGCTTAGAAAACATGACAGTTTTCATCTAATACATTATGATGTGTAATCGGAATAAACGTTCTTGAATCCTCTCGTCTCAGTCCCTCCCGGGGTTCCCAAGTGCTCTCTGTCCGGGAAGCCAGTGTTGAAGGGGAATGTGACTCTGAGCTGCGAAACCAGCTCCGGGAAGCCTGTTCCACTGTACAAGTGGAAGAAAACCAGTCCCAGCTCAGAGGTCTTCTTCTCACCCATGCTCAGTGAGTGGACCCAGCACAGTCACAGTCTGTGAAAGGGAACAGTAATGTTACAGGAAGCTAATTTAGTCTAATGTGTGGAGCTCTTATGTGATTCTAACAAATGATTTAAATGGAATAAGCAGCAGTGTTTGTTCACTACTGCTGAGATTCACCATATTCAGAAATGTTCAATTATTTATAGTCTGTGACCTGTTGACTGTGTAAAGGTGTGAGGTTTATTTTAAAGAAATAGTTGAACTTTTCCCTTTGTTTGCTGAGAGTTAGATTATATTTATTTAAATGTTGTCAACCTTTGGACAGAAGTGAGCTCACTGTTTCCACCAGCTTCCAGGCTTAAAGCTATTACTCAACTGTATCTATAAATAGGAAGCAATTTCCTGCTATATTTGTGTTCTGAAAATCCTAAAGAGAGCACTACTTTATGAAATGAGATATTAAAAAAGCATAATGGACAAACAAAAGCTGAAGCAAGGAATACTTTTTTCAAATTTATTTGCAAATAGAGAAAACAGCAAACATGTACTTTGAATTATATTTCTAATGTTTTTCATCTTTTTTGTTAACATATAAAAAGAAACAACAAACCTGTCCAAATCCACCCCACCCACAGGCACACCCACGTAGAAGGGCAGAAAATAAAAATATTAATAATATTGTTGTTTTATATTTCATCATAACCAGCACTAAGAATTAAGGATGAATTATCATGTGAACAGTATATATTGTTCTAGATATCCATAATGATTTAAGTATAATCTGTCAATGTATTGCATCCGTTTTCCTGGAATAATGTGTACGCGCGGTCCCCCGTGTTCACTGCTGCTTGTAGACGAGAAGACGGGAACCCTGAAGCTGAACAACCTGAGCAGCAACATGTCGGGGAAGTATGTGTGCACAGCCAGCAACACCGCTGGGTCCGAGAGCTGCTTCATCAACCTGGAGATTGTCACCTGTACGTAGCAAAAAACAAAACACAACACCGAAAGTTGGAAGCTGATTTTTTTCTTTTTGTGAAGCTAGTGTGTCCAATACCACTGCAATTTACAAACTCATCGGATGCATTTGTCAAAAGACAAAAATCCTCCCAAAAGAACTGATGCTGTGTGGACATGCTCTGCTTTAGCGATATGTAACCGTTATGTGTCCCATGTCCCTGTAGCCACTAATGTGGGGGTGATTGCTGGCGCCACAGTGGGCTCAGTGGTTGCCGTCATCCTCCTCCTCCTCCTCTGCTTCGTTTTCCTGGTGAAGAGGCGGAGAGACAACGAGGACGACATGGCAAACGAAATCAAGTGAGTTGAGAAGAAGTGCTCCGTTTTCTACTGTGGTTTGGTTCCTTATATTGTTCTGGATATTCAAAAGAACGCCGCCCCCCCCCCCCTCAGAGTTAAGCTCTTGTGGGTTAATATGTGTCCTCTCCTCCTCCAGGGAGGACGCTCAGGCTCCCAAGCGTGTTTCCTGGGCGAAGAGCGGCATGGGTTCAGATATCATCTCCAAGAACGGCACCCTGTCCTCCATCGCCTCCAGCCCCCACCATAAAGAGCCCTCCCACAACCACAACAACCACCACCACCCGCAGCAGTACCCCCAGCGCCCACCGTCTGACACCGCCTCCATCATCACCGCCACGGGCAGCATGGCCGGCTACCGGCCGCCCCGCCAACACGGCGCCTCCACCCCCACCCACTATGGCTACAACAACAACAGCACCCTCCCACGCGGACAGGCCGTCTCCTCCGAAGGCACCGCCAACGGGAGCTCCCTGTCCCGACCGGAGCGCTACACCCAGCTACCCCAGGCTCAGTTGCTGCAGCAGACCTACAGTCAGCATCAGCTGCAGCTCCAGGGGGCTCCCGCCCCGCCCCCACTGCCCACCTCCACGGTCACAGCCTCCAACATCGCCCGCATGGGAGGGGTGCCCATCATGGTGCCTGCACAGAACCAGGCTGGATCTCTGGTCTAAGGCCTGCCAGTTCTGGCCGAGAGTGATGTGGATCAAAAACAGTTGGATTCTGTGCAGACGGCTTAGAAACTATTTTAGCACAATTACAGTAGATCGAAATATCAAATCCACTTATTGGCGCTTGGTTTTGCGCAAAGAAGCTTTCGTAGCAAGACTTTCAGACACGGACTGTTTACTTGCCTTAAACATACTTAAGTCTTTTATATTCTGTATGCACCGCATACATTGCAAACTATGTATAGATATAATGTTCATATATACACATTTGTCTAGTATCCTCTTTTCTACCCTATCAAGGCATTTCTATTTTATTGGTTTGTTTTTCTTGAAATTTTGCTTTCAAATGACATATTATATATACTATTTCCAGAGAAGACAAAGACAACAACAAACTGAATATCTGTGTGTGTGTGTGTGTGTGTGTGTGTGTGTGTGTGTGTGTGTGTGTGTGTGTGTGTGTGCCATGGATGGGCATACAGATTAAATATGAGGAAGGTTGTGCAGATCTTTACTGTAGGACGACCTATGGAGAAATCATGCGTTCAAGCACAATGTGTTGGACTTTCAGAGAAGAGAATGTTAGTAAAGAACTGGGTGAAGTATATGTTGAAATGCATGTTTATGCAGCAGAAGGAAAGACAAAACAACCTTATACATGGGATAAAGTTTAGCAAAGTATCCTAATCCTTTATTTTTTGGGCTCCACTTCTGTTGGTGTTCAGCTTATAAAATGCTCTTAAACGCTATACTTTAAATACAGATTAGCAAAAGCTTCTTAGGATATTAAGAACCATTCAGAATTGCAGTAAGGTGACTTTGCCAAAACACTAGTCCACACTTGTAATACTTTCAAAGTTGCCTCCAGAATTGAAATTGGAAATATGATGATTAATGTGTGGCCAAAGTCCAAAGACATGTTCTGGGGAGCAGGTTAATCGGGGACTCTAAATTGCCCGTAGGTGTATGAATGTGAGTGTGACTGGTTGTGTGTCTCTGTGTAGCCCTGCGATTGGCTGGCGACCAATCCAGGATGTACCCTGTCTATCGCCCGAAGTTGGCTGGGATGGACTCCAGCCCCCCCGCGACCCTGTGTGCAGGATAAGCGGTTTGCAGATGGATGGATGGATGGATGGATAATTGTTGGCCAGTGCCTGTATTTAATACAGGTCATAAATTTGCCTGCAACACCAGATTCTGAACCAAAGATATCCAGTAAAACGTTTCTTCTATAGATCAGGGGTGTCCAACTAAATTTAGTTAAGGGGCCACTATGACCTCAAGTGGGCCCGGCCAGTCAAACCAAAGGCGATGATCCAGACATCCCTGCTTTAGAGGTATTTCTTCATTTGAAAGAGCAAGTCGGTGGGGAGAAACCTGTCAGCAATGGAAGCATATTGATTAGTTATCAAAATAGTGCCATAGGCACGACATTTATAGAGTAACCTTATAGAGTTCCCATTTGACTGGCATTGCAAAGTAGTAGAAACAGAAAGCTGATATGAGTTTCTGTGAACACTGTTGAAGGTGATCCGCAGCCATCCGAAGAAGATGGAAGAGACACACTAAAGGTGAATGTGGTGAAAAGAAAAAACGTTCTATTCGATCTAATAGAATTCATCATGAAACTTTCTCTGTTGATAACTAAATAAAACCAATTCTTCACTCTATAAGTCCCAGAAAAGCATTGGTTGAAGCCAGGTTCCAAAGTTCTTGTTTCATTTTGAAGACATATAATTGAAATGTATATGTGGATATATATATATAAATATATATAAATGGATATCTCTTTGAACCCATTCATTAATCAGAAAATACTGCTAACGTCTGTATGTCTCCAAATGGCTGCAGACTCAATTATGTGAGTATGTGTTACAGAACGTAACATGAACCGTGATATTAAATACAGTTTCCAACAAAACAAAAACATCCTAAAGATGTTTTCAACCTTCATTTTTTAAAATGTCTTTTTCTAACACACAAATGGCCACGGAAAAATGATACATACAGTATATATATATATATATGCTAATAGCCATATTGCCATTTATACGGCTATATCGTCATTACAGTGGAATATAATGTTTGTGCACACCAGACTAAATCTGAATCATTTGAAACTGGGTGACACCAGCTTGGCAGTAGTTGTTGCATCATGTTTGTATTGTTTTTTCATGAATTAAAAAAACAAAGTTCATGTGGGAAGATGGAATTGTGGAGGAAATCAGTTGGAGTCTGTACACCTAAAAACAACTAACATGTGAAATGGTCATTTAAGAGTGTACATTATGAACATTACAATGTATTTAAGACACACCTTTATTTTTATACAGTGATGAGGTATAAAAGCACATGAGCTAAAAGGATAAACTGTCTGACTAATGGATGGTACTGCGGACAACCGCGTACCTAAACTGTGGTCATTTATGTGCAGTGTGCACTTGTATTCTCCATATTTATGTTCATGGAAAACACTTTGTAAGACATTTGCAATTAAAAGAGAAATGATGACATGGAAGTTGGGGTTTTTCAACAAAGATGTATTTGGGTTGCCCTGAGTTACCCATTCCCACTGATATTTAAATGGAACCACCAGTGAGCAGCAACATGAATATTTGGGAAATCCAGTGTTGGAGGAGGAATCCTCACACACAATCATAGACTTAACATCGTTCTTCTTAAGCAGCAGACCGTCACTTTGATCTGAAGAAGCATTACAGTGATTGATTTCATTTCTTTATATATTTGGAAACTTGATTCTGGCCTCACGGTGTAGTTGCGTTGATTTAGGAGATGTACTATGATGTAAAGTGATAGCCTTGGCCAGTGCCTTTTATTATGTACTATGACAACAATGGACACATCTGGTCTCACCCTGAACGTGACGGAGTGGTTCTGCTCCTTTGCTTCTGAGGACATGAGCGTCAGACTGTGACGTCACCAGTACTCACCAGTGTTCAGATTTTATCAAAACACAGAATATTCGTAAAACTTTATCACAACAATAACAACACAATTTAAAGCGTTCTATAAGGTTGACTATAATCATACTTCATGGTCACTCACTAACATCTTTTATTAGCTGGGATCATAGTGTACAATAATTATCTTAGTTGTAGATCATGATCCTTTCATAGTACATCATAACCACTGTTATATTTTGATTATTTGCTTTTTAGTAAAGTGAAAATGAATTCCAGGGCGGCACGGTGGCGTGGTGGTTAGCACTGTTGCCTCACAGCAAGAAGGTCCTGGGTTCGATTCCGCCCAGTGGCCTTTCTGTGTGGAGTCTGCATGTTCTCTCCGTGTCTGCGTGGGTTCTCTCCGGGTTCTCCGGCTTCCTCCCACAGTCCAAAGACATGCTCTGGGGATCAGGTTAATTGGTGACTTTAAATTGCCCGTAGATGTATGAATGTGAGTGTGAATGGTTGTGTGTCTCTGTGTAGCCCTGCGATTGGCTGGCGACCAGTCCAGGATGTACCCTGTCTATCACCTGAAGTTGGCTGGGATGGATTCCAGCCCCCCCGTGACCCTGTGTGCAGGATAAGCGGTATGATGATGGATGGATGGAATAAACTCAGAAGGGGAAGGAAGAAAGAAGCCGCTAGGGTAGATCGTTTATTAGAATTTGCGATTAGCGATGTAACATTCAACTACATGGCGCAAAAGGAATTCATAAATACGCTAATATGCAAATATGCACGCCTTAATTGACATGAGCTCATCTCATCGGGGAATAAAATATTCAAGGAAAAGTCAGTTATACACCTTGTGGCTGAACAGGGTAAAATGACAGTTAACCAAAGTAAAAAATCAGCATAAACAGAGTTTATACCAAATATGTAGATACAAATGAAAAGCCATTTAAAAAAAAGTGCACTGGATATTCAGATAGTGAAGCGAAACAAAAAATAAAGTAAAAGCTCTATAATGTGCTGTGACTGCACCCGTAATAGTCGCAGGTTTGTTTTCGTCCACATGGAGCTACAGTACTAAGTTGGCAGAAAAAGGTGCATGGCTTTTGTATTCAAATGAGTTGTCATCTGAAACAATACAGGGAGATGATTATGTGTCGGTGCATTTCTTTACAGTTATACATTAATGAATCAATGAATATGATTGATATGAATATTGTTAAGAGGTCAGTTCATGAATAGGTGTCAAAACTTGGCAACGTCGAGATTCTGTTAGAGGAAACAAAGGACAGAGATTGTAAAGTATATAAAAGAAAGCAACAATACAGTTGTATCCCTGTATCCAAGTGGTGTTGGGATATTTAATAGCATGTCATGCTCCATTAGTGAAGTCCTTTTTAAAAGTTCAGATGGTGGCCATTTTGTGTCTGGCCTGAGCTTGATGTGCGGGAGGGGAGAGGGTGAGCTCAGCGACAGGCAGTAGTCATAGTTGAGGTGAGTACATGATGTCGATGGTGAGGATCCACGGTTGATAAAGGTAAGAGATGGGAGGTCATGCAGCTCGGGGCCCTAGGCATGGATGGTTGGAAAGGAGATCTCTGGCACAGCGGCCCCTGGCACAGCCGGGCTTTAGGTAGGACACAAGACTGCAGGGGAACAACAGTATTAACACTGTCAAGGTTCTACTGGAATAAATATTAAAGTTACTAATGACTCTTGTTGCAGAATGAGGAAGGTACATTTTGCAATAGCTGAAAGGCAGCCGTCCAATCAGAGAGGATCACATTCATTATTTATTGCTCAAACTCAGGTCGTTGTTTTACCTTTTAATATGTAGTCGGTAAGCAGTGTAGGCACCTTCTCACTGTCCTCCTTCATCGCATAAAGAACTATGAAGGAAATAAAGCATGTCTCAAATCCTTTCAGCCAGTAATTATAATGATTGGCCCTCGATGCAAACGTTGCATACTTACTTTTTGTGAGCATCTGCAGGTCGTCAACAGTTGGAAGGGAGACTTTCTTCTCGTATGGAATGACTGTGTTCAGATACTAAAGACAGAGAGGTTCAAGGTTTAGAGATGCTGACAAAGTACTTCAAGATCTGAAATGATAATGAAATGAAGATTGACTCCAGTTCCATATCTTTGTGTTCAATAGGAAGCAGCAGCTAAGGGGTGGTTAGGCTAATTTAGCTTAGCTTGTAGACTGAAAAGCTTGCCTGTCTTCTGTTCTTCTTCTTGAGTTTAGAAATCTCACTAGTCAACTGTGCTCTCCTTCACTTCAGGGAGCCTTTTGAAGGCTCCTTTTTTCAATTTTTAAATCTTGATTTGTCAACACCTGGCTGGAAGTTTTTAATGGATTATTTTTCAATTTCTTTAAAGCTATACTGTAAAAGGTCATTGCTGCCATTCTGATGAAAAAAAACACAGATCCTCATTGACAGAATAACAATTTACCATTGGATTATTTGAGAGTGTTTCTCATTGAAATGTGTTATACAATTTCAATTTATTTATAGTGGCTTCCATTTAGTATCTTATCTGATGCTGGTTTTATTTACATCCGGCAATAACTACAAAGACTGGAGCGAAAAGTCTCAAATTCCAAATAGCAATTAAAGGAACCTTTCTTTCTTTCTTTTGTAGCAAAACACTTTTTCATGGATCAAATTACATATAGTAGATCGACCTTGTCTGTCTATGACCTCATGTGGATTGGACTCAGGCAATGGTGACCATTTACTACTGGAGTGAGGCCTGTGACCTTAAAGGGTTAGTGCACCGGCTGCCATTGCAGAGCTGGTGCAAGCCTCTACGGGCTGTTAACTTCACTACATTCCTGTTGCACTACCATAGTAGCAGTTCCAGTTCATCAAATACTTTCAGTCTGTTTTGGATGCACATGTTACTGTAAAACAGCAAACACATTACTAGATGCATGCTAATTATTATTAAAACTGACTTGCGCAAGTTATCATGTTAAATAATTGGTGGGCACTTAAAAAAATGAATTATGTAATTTCCTAACAGGTGAGTGTTAGGAAATTAATTTGTCCAATGTCTAGTGTATATTTTATCATGTCACCATTATAAGTGTGTTCATGGCCTTTTACAATGGACCTTTGACCTTACCTGTTTGTCATTTCCTGTGCTTCCAAATGTCTGTCTGATGCCCGTCTGCAGGATGTTAGACAGTCCCTCCATGCTGAAACGCTGCAGGTCACAACCAGGACACATACACAGACCATTAATACAAGATACTGATGATCATCTCCTTCATCAAGCTGATCTGCAGTACACAGTACACACCTAGCAACATCTCATTCAAACAGAACTTCATGGTGAAACGCTATTTGCTTTTTTGTTTATCTTACATCTCCATCATTTATATATCTGTACATTCATATGAATCTAGTCATTCAGCCTCAGGTACCAAGCAGTTGCCACATAAAAACACTACTGATGCAATGCATGGCGGGAAAGTCCATTAGATCCCGGCTGGGCTGTTACTGTATACAGACGAATGGTCACTTTAGCATCTTTCCTGGAAGATGCTTAAGAGGCTAATGGCCCTGAGATCCATTACTGTATGTTTACAATCAGAGGAAGGAAGGAGGAGAGTTTTCAGGTACTGGTATCCCTTTTTTTCTAATTTAACTGATGTGCACATGTGCACAACACCATAGTGGCGGCGACGTTAACAAGGATGAGAGCAAAACTCTCATGCAGTTGTGGCACACACACTGACTTTAGTGGTGTGTAAAACATGAGGGCCATCCTTTCCTTTCTCTTACCTTGACAGGCATGCTCCCTGTCTTCTCCGAGTTGCCGGTGGAGGTGGTATCCCCTCCGTTCTCAGGTGATGTCACCCCCCCCTGCAGGCTCAGGGCCTTGTCCCGGCGGCGGCGTTTGCTGCTGTCTCGTTGCTCCTTCTGCCTGTTCTGCACTTCCATCAGTGCTGTGATGAACGTGTTCTTCACCTCTTTCTCAAACTCCAACTCCTCCCGCCGTGCCAGCTGGCTGACCAGCTCTTCTGAGTACTCGAGGATGGCGGCCTCTACCCTATGCAGCAGTTCAACCAGCGCTGAGCTGGGCATCAGGCTCAGGCCTGCAGGGAAGATAATCAGGGGGTCATTATTTGTTCCTACCCAGTCATTGTAGCTAAACATTACTGTATGTACTTTGGGTGGTGCAAAAGACAAATAAATATTTAGGCGGACTCAAACAGCTATTATCAACAAAAACAAATGTATATTGTCTTTTGAAAGTATATGTTTTGTTTTTTGTATAAAATATCTTTTGTCTCGGCCAAACGCAGGTGGAGTATTTTAGAACTAAGGAGTCACATGTGACCTCTAATGACCTCCACGCTCCTCCCTGTCTCGGAAGTTCACAGGATTCCCAGAGCCAGAACTCTGGCGGTCATCCAGGATTCATAGAACCGTAGTTACTCCCCCCGACGGGGGCTTGTAATGGGAGTGAAATCTGTAACCTGGTTGTTCTCTCTTTAGGTACATTGCCCGACGGCTGGCCAGTCGGGGTACCGCCCAAGTAAGAAGGGCGCGGGACTCCTGCAGTAACCTGCAGATGTGCCCTTGGTTGTT